TTGCATGAAGCCGCCGCCTTCGACTACAAATTGCCATTAAATGCAGCAACAAGGGGCGTTTGGTTGCTGCTGGGCGTGGCCGTTAACGAATCCTCCAGACGGATCCTAGCCCACCCACTTCTACATCACCTGGCTGTCCCAACAATAACTGACACCAGTTGCTCCACTCCTTCCACTACCCACTATCCACTTTGTTGCAACAATTTGCGCGCCCGAGGCGCCGGTTGAGGATGTGGGACGATGGGCGGCTTTGCACTGGCAAAAAACCATGTCGACTTTGCTACGCCAGGGATTTCATATAATATTACTTTTATAATTCATTTTGTTTTGGCATACATTCATAGCATATTTCATTTGCAAGAGTTGTGCAACGAAAATCAGTTGTACCGCGAGCTTTGCCGAAATGCAGTGTGCAGTGGACTATTTCTGTCAGTGTCGGCTGCTGCTTCATTGCATTTAATTCATTTTTATTGCACAAGCTCACAGACAGATAGAGGGAAAGGATATAGGTGTGCAGCAGGAGCAGGAACAGGAGCAGGAGCAGGCAGGACGAGGGAGTAGTAAAGGCCACTTGGGTGTGCTCTTTAAATTATATTGGGCAGAATTTTATGCAGTTGGAGATGCTAAGCAAGGCGATCCAAAGGATGCGGCTGCACGCCATTCCCCTTTCGTCCTACATCCTTGGCTCCACAGGACCCACGAGGCTCCCGCTGGCGTTGCATGCCATACAAAAGTTTTTACAAAGTAGCTGCGGCAGCTGCTGCAAGTTTGAACAGCATCCATGATGGCAAAGGAGTGGAGAACAAGGAGCGGTGGACAGACAGGCATTTTGATGAAGCTGCTTTATATATTGGGTGCGGGCTTTCGCTGGGTGGCCCAGCTCCTTGCAACGGCATAATTTAAATAGCATGTAAATTAGACGGAAGTCTAAAATGAGTGCATAATGTCTGCTAAAAGTGTTCTAAGTGATTGTAATTTAGGTAAAACTTGCAGCGAAAGCGCGCTTAGGGATTGTCTTGGCTTATAAACTCTGGACTAGGGCAATTTAGCGCCATTTTCATGTGTGGTTAGCAGCTCAACTAATGGAATGATAATCCCAAATTCAAAATTGAATTTTATAAAGCCATCACTTTATAAGCACATTAAAAGTTCTAAAAGAACCTTTAACCTAATAAAAATGACTATGACTACACTCGGATTGGTATTCTGCAGCCTAATGACTCGTTAAATACGTTTATCTACATTACCATACCAATTTCTACGCCAAATTATACGCCATTATATGTATAATGTGAAATGCGAAACCTGATTATGTGCATCTCATGGTGCTGCAAGTATTACAAGTAACAAATTTAACTTCAATTAAGGAAATGCAATAAAAGCGAAGCTCTGTTTATTAAAATACCATCTCTGAAAAACTTTATAAAGAAAACAATGAAACCCCATCATTCTTTCCTCAAAATGTACTACCAAAAACCGAAACTTAAAGTACTTTGCTCTTGAAGGCTTTTGTGCTTTTCTTTGTTCTCGAACTTCATTTGATAACTCTTCTTCCAACGCCTTTTCTTGGCCTTCTTCTAGCCACTTTTCCTTTCCACAAAAAGACAATTGAAGCGTATAACCGAAATGAAATTCGAGGATTGCGAAAGCAAAACCGAAACAGCATGACCCAGCTAAGACTTGGCTCAAAGTCTGGATTTTCCGGGGTCTTAACACCTTTCCCATCGGCATTTCCTTTTGCCGCTTTTCGGCCTATTTCGGACCAGGAGTAACAGTTCAAGGAAAAAACCGCATCACTTTTCGATTTGAAGTAATACTTTTTTGGCCTTTCCCAATTTGCGCGTGCACATTAAGTGTTAGCATTCAATGGGTTTGCTTTGTTGCGTTTAAACTGGAAGAAACAGAAATTTGTTACAACATTTTGAATTGCATAAACGTACAGACACGTTAGAAACTTAGGCAAAATGACAAAATTCTTCAAGCAGAGTTTAAGGTAAATAGAAATAAATGGTTGTTTACTGAGGTGTTTGGAATGCCGACTGAGCATTTTCATGTTAACTCTTAGCTCATTTTCATGTGCATTTGACATATAGAATATTTGCCGAGCTCATTTTCAGTGCTGGAAAATTAATTAGCTGGGAGTAACCATTTCCAGCCGCTCTTCAGAAACACTCGAACAAATGTCTAAACTTGTTTGACTCGTACCTTTGGCATGACAGCCACTCGGCAAACTGCAGTGCAAACAGACTTTCGGATCAACTTTGTTAACTTCGGCATTAAAATACTTAACCCCATTCCGAGGCTCCACCATCGAAAACAAACCCACTTGCGCCGTAATCTATCAATAATATTATTACTTGAAGTGAGTTTGTTCGTTAGTTAGTTAGCTAGTTATGTTCTCTTCAGCTGGTTGCACTATCCGCACCCAGAAGTTTTAACTTTGGACAAATCCACCTCCGCTCCGCTCCGCTCGGCTCCATTGGGATGGCCACTCGACGGGTCGCTGGGTAATTCCCTAGGTAAATTTATAATTACTGGAAGCGACTTGAACCAGTTATGCCGGCGGCTGGAGTCCTGTGGCCCCCTTCTGGGTGGGGCCAGTGGCCAGTGGGGAGCCAGGCAGATGGGGCTGCAAAAGTTGTATGATGTTGTTGTTGTCTGGCGGGTGACCAGGGCGCCAGGCAATCTAATTTCCATTTACCCATTTGCTGGCGCCACCCGAAATACCCCTACTTTGTTGGCTTTTTCATTAGGTTTCCATTGGGGAGCAGCCGCACCTGGAAGCTGGCTAAAAAGTTCATTCTAGGCGAAATTAAGTGTCATTTTTATTCGATTTTGTTTTAGTAGTTTACTTTTTGGGGGTGCTAAGGGGTTAGGAGTGGGTATGGCAAAGTGCACTCGGTAGTTAAGCAGAGTTTTGAGAGAGTTTTTATATTCCCCAAGTCGCTTGCTTTTTATTGATTTTAATGGAAATGCAATTAAAAATTTAACAGTGTTCCAGGCGTAAGTGCATTAACATTAACTGAAAAATGATTTATGCCGTGTTTGACATTTTAATTATGCTCGCCGACGCAGCAGCAAACAAACAAACCCATGTGGCAGCGTGTGACTGACTTTCATGAAGTCTATTTTATGCTTTAAAATTTCCGGCCATTTGTTTTAATTTTTACCGTTTCGAGTTCAATTTTTAATGTTCAATTAATTGCATTAAATTATGTGCAAAATTATGCACTTAAAATGCATTAAGTTTCCGCCCATAGACAAAATACGCACAGATCACTGAGCAATTGCATCAAAAGCGACATAATTTTTACATTTTGTAAATTAAATAATAAATAATACACTTGATCGGCCGAAAGTAATCATCCAGTGGCACTTTAAACTTATGCACCTTTAAATCTATTTTACCAGCAGTATGAATGTCTGTTCAAAATCAATAAATATCGGACTGACTGCTGAAGCCACAGCCTTTGGATACAATATATATTCACTTGCGGCTTTTGGCTCCGCAACCAATCGCTTTAATTAAGCTTCATCTTTCTGGCCCTTCATCTCATTTCCCTGGCCAGCACATCAAAAACCAATTAATTTTTATACATTGTGTGGCTGTTTTACTCACTGTTTTTTGTTGCTGTGTGGCGGACTACAATTTGCCAATAGGATACTGGACAGGACATACGCATACAGAAGCCATTAGTCAGAAAATTTAACACAGTTCATTGGGCAAATTTGGACATGGCTGAAGCTAATGACATAATTTCGCCATTGACTGGATTAGATAATGCCCAGGACACACTGACACACTCTAATGCCCTCGCCCTCGCCCCTGTCCTGTTAATTGTTGTAAGGTCCTGTCCAGGACACATTACAAACATTGCAATCTGCTCTAAGCCCGCAGCCAAAGATTAATGATCAGAAATGCCTAATGAAGTTATTCCGGTGGGAACGAGGGAATTCTAGTCCCTGGCCTCCACGAAGACAATGGAACTGTGATGAAGTGTTAAGTCCTTGGGAGTCCGAGGCTCCGTCGTTTTTATTTATGATACGCTCAAATTGTTGCTCTTTGCATATTTACCTTGTTATTTTATTACGTGGCGGAAATGAACAGAAATATAAAATACAATAAAATAAAAACAGAAACAGAAACAGAAACGACGGCGAGAGCAGCGCCCACATAAACAGCGCGAAAACATTGTCACAGCATGAAGTCGAATGGTTTTTACATGCAAAAATATTTCATTTCCTCCAGCAGCGAACTGTTTAATAATAAAAAAAGACCAGGGAAGAAAAGGCAGGCGAAATGAGCGACAAAGTACATTTCACAGTGAGTGAGGAAAAGGGAGTCGGCGCAAATAAAAAACTGCAATAAAAATCTGTTTAACATGAAGTGCGGCAAACGCACAAAAGTCTGAGGAAGATCCTCAGAAATCATCTTGTTCTGTCTCTGCTTGCCTCTTGCCCATACACTTTACAACTTATGAGTGCTAATAAAATTCACTCGGCACATACAGATTCATTTATATATAGCGCACAAGCTCACCAAAAAAAAAACAAAAAAAATCTGCAAGGCGAGTCCTTCAAGGTGTGCGCTTTGATAAAGAATTCCCTCCCAAGTCCTTTATGGTTGGGGACTAAGTGTAGAAGATATCCCAATGGACAGAATAAAAGGCAAGGATTTCATTTTAAATTTCTCAATTTATTGAGTCAGCTTTGCGGTGGCGGAGTGTTGCTTGCATTGTGCAATTTCTGTGATAATTTTGCCAAGAATGAAACGGTTGCCGAATGAAGAAAAGAATTCTTGATAAAATCTTCAATGCACAAGCTTATTGGGCATTATTAGGTGTGCTATTGCGATTATGATTTGCACTGAATTTCTCCTTTCCCTGCAGATTTGTATGGAGAATGCTGCTGGAAAAGATTTTTAATATAAATATAACAGGATTCAACCGAAGTTAAATTTGCAAAGTAGTATGCCCTGCTAACCAAGTTCACTTAAAGAAATCGTTCATGCCCTACTGGAAATTGCTGACAAATAATCAAGAATTATGAGAAAAAAGTTTAAAGCTCTGTTGCTATTGCTTCAGCTGGTGGCCCAATTGAGATCCGGTCAAGCAATTTGGTTTCCCTGGTACCTCCAGCGATACGGATTGGCCCCGCATTCCTTCCGACATGGCGGAGGTCACAAAAACCAGACAGACGACGGCTCCACCTGCCCACCTGGCTACGAAATGAAGTCATCATCCGCAGGATTGACTGGTGGAATGGCTGGATGTGAACGCGTAGTTGGATCGAGAGTTGGAAACGCAAAACGCCTTTGCGACGACAATCCCGTGCTGATGCAACTGGCGCGTCTCTACGTGGTGAGTCCTGAGCGGATTGTCCTGCTCCTGGCGCAGCCCTCTCTGACCCAGTCCTGCGCCGAGATCACCGATGTGCTGGGCAACATACGGAAGTCCATGCGCAACTGTGTCCTGGCGCCGGATAACATCTATGGGCGACTGGCGGATGGGCTGAACTACTTTCAATCGGAGGTCTGCGAGGGAGGCGATGGCAAGAACAGGAAGCGATGCACTGGACTCCAGGAGTCGCACAACTGCCTGAAGGAGCTGCGGACGGACATGATCGAGTGCGAGGCACCGGCTGATTGGTACGAACGCAGGAATGCCAGCAAAGTGTGCCACATCTTCAACGATGTCCTGAACTGCTATTATACGAGGGCAGCCCTGTTGTGCGGACTCGAGGTCGCCAGGCAGCTGAGGTCCTTCGCAGGAGACAGCATGGGCAGGGCCATGATCCACAAGTGCGAGGTCAGCAAGAGGCTGCCCCGGGTTGATAATGCCATGCCCATTAACGCTAGTAGGGCTAGCTTAAGGCCATCATGGCTTGTTGCTCTAAGTTCTTGGACTATAGTTATTTATTTTGCACGGCTTAAATATATATTTGGATAATAGGTACTAGTTGGGATTAATTCTTCGTGCATAAATTTAGAAATTGTTGCTAGAACAAATTTTAAAAGTTGTGCTAAAACCATAGAAACTGAAACAGAATTTAATTTTATAGAACTCATTTCATACCCCTTCATCTGTGTTGAGGAAAATACAATTTAGTACCGTTTAAAACTGTCATGTGCCGCAAAGAAGAAACTCCATAAAGTTTAAGAGCTCTGAGATCGCAACTAAATAGACGGCTGTATATGGAGCCATCATTTATCTTGCGATGGTCCCGAAATGCCAACTTAAGTGTTTAGCCATTTTCAACTAAATTTCAATAAACACCTAAGGGACTTAGGCTGTCGACAAAGTAAGCCAATCCACCGACACACCCGCATAGTTTCGAGATGTGTGGATATCGCTGTGAGTATCTGTGTGCGAGGTGACCGCAAGCATACAAGCACTGCTCACGGGAAACCGATGTCGACATTCGCCTCTTGCTTAGAGCGAAACTCATCAATTATGTTGACGCGGCTGGAAAATGCCTGGGTGCTTCGGGTGGCTTGGGTGGCTTGGGTGGCTTGGGTGGTTAGGGTGGTGCGGCGGTTTTCCGAACTGGCCTTTGTTAATGACACCTCTCGCAATCGCCCGAGTCGGCTATAAAGAGCGAGATCGGAAAGCTTTGGGGGATGGCTTTTACATTTGCATCGCACTCGTGGAGCCTGGCCGCAGGATATCTGGGTTACAAATGCACAACAGACATCCTCCAGTGAGCATCAAAGTGGTGCGGACCACAATTTAGGTTCATTAGCAGGCAATTTCGATTCAATTTGACAGCTGCATTATTAGGTTCTTAAATGTGAATAATAATACATATTACATGATTATTAGCAGTTTTTAGGTGGAAATTAAATACAATAAACTGATACTCATTAACGTTTTACTAACCTTTAATTGGCATCTTTTTATCGCGTTCACTTCTATATGCAACTATCCTGAATTGAAAAAACGTGAAACCCATTTATTTCATAGCTTTAAAATGAATATTATTTACAAGCAGAAAAAAATAATACGTTAGGGCCGAAACTTAATAAGCATTCAAAATATAAATAACATTAGGTACCGGAGCACCATATAAATATTTAACTATGACACATTCAATATTTCGGTCCGAAATCCATTAAATTGCTCAATTGTCGCCACATATTCATTTGCACCCACAAATTATTACTCATAAAACAGAGGTGGCATGAGTTATGACTGCTAATACTAAAACTTAATGCCCCAATTACCCAAGTAAAGCAACAGAAAATGAAGAGGAGCCCGACTCCCCCGCAATCGCGATGAAAGGACGCCCTCAGTGTGGCAAATAGGGGCGTGGCATGTGCGCAGGACCAACCAGGATCTAGTGTGGCGCCCGTTTTGTGTCGCCATGGCTGACGTTGTCTACTCCATTAAAATGAAGTTGTACCCATTGTGCTCTCTGTTTTTTTCTTACTCGGCGCCGACGAGACTACGAAAACAAAAAGCAGATTGTTGCCAAACAAAACATGGAGCCACATTTCAATGGTGTTTTTACCTGTAAATACGGCCAACCAACCGAAGAGGCACACAACAGTCCATCTGCCCGACGATTGCCACGCAAACGGGTAAAGTATTTTTTCTCTTCGAATCTCACTCGGTAGGTTGGTGGACTTAATATAGCTGCATCATCAATGTGTTCCTCCTAAGAGAAATATCAATTTAAAGATACTTACCTTTGTCTGATCAGCGCAAACATTACAATAATGCAGCATTGAAGCTCCTTCTTTACAGGGTATGTCGAGATCGGGGAGCAGAAACTTGCCTGGGTTCCCTTTTATTCCATCTTGGCTTTCTTGGCTAAATAAAAATAAGTGCTCTGGAACTGAGAGCTTTGCCTGCTGCCTGCAATTGACAATAAACATGGGAGTTGAATGGAAAGGCAAGGCGGACAGGACTCTAAATGTTGGTTATTCCCGCGGACGAATGTCCTGTGGCCATATGTGTGACGCAGTTGATGATTCCAGCCACCGCCTTCATTATTATCCTGTGACAAACTGAAACACAATTCATATGGTAGTGGTAAATTTGAAAGTTTTTTTCAGATTCGTTTTATTTTGTTAAATTTCCTGAATATCGCGAATTCGTCATAAGATTAAATTAATTTTAATTACTTGCCATTAACATCATGAACTGAAAGTGTTCAATTAAGCGAAACGCGCACAGATGCCTTTGTTTATTAAAAGGTTATCACTTCGGAATTTGCGAAAGCTTAAATGAATTTAATTTAATATAATATATTATATACTCGTATTTGTACGCTGTATGCGATAACGCTTATCGACATTACCTGGCTAGTGAATATATCTGTGCACTTTTGCATCGCAAACAAAAATTCCTTCCGGCAAAAATAATCTGATGACACAAGCGCTCGCAATACTCCATCAATGTTTTAGCAAATATTCTGCTGATATAATTCATTTCAATTCCACGCGAACAGAGCTCAATCACGCAATCAGCGGCACAAACCCGTACCTTATAATTTCATCAGCATCAATTTAGCCACATAAGACCCGAGGCCAGGCGATCCGACCAACCAGACCGCATTTGTTTGTGCCATTCCGACCATTCAAATGCCCCGGCACGTATTGAATGCCACAATGGCTTTCGAAAAAGGCAGACAAAACAAATTCCCCGAAAAAAGGAGCAGGGAAGTGAGCATATTTAATAAGTTGACAAAACATATTTCACACGCACAAATGCGCCAGCTTTCGGTTGGCTTCCATTTTGTTTGCCCTCGACTTACGGCCAACTGCCTACATATGTCAAGCATCATTATTAACAGATTTTCGGGTGCGACACGCACGAGCCCAAAAATACTCTCAGCTCCCCATTTATCCCCGGGGGCTAGGTGGTCCATAAAGGTGAGGGTTTGGGCCGCACAGCGTGTGAAAATGTTATTGACATCTATTTCAATATTTATAAACGCACCCTGAAAGCATTGCCATATGCGGCAAATACAGATTGAGGGATTTCGGTTTATTCAATGTGCCGAAGTCCGGCAAAAAGACCACTATTAAGCAATTTACCCGCAAGCTTGCCAACTTTCAGAGTAACTCATCAAAACGCAAGAAAATCAATTTGATGCCAGGCCAAGAGAAGTTTGTAAAGTTATAAGTAATTCAGCTTTAATTCAGACTTGCAGTGTTTTATTAACATTTATTTATTAACACAATTGCACAATTATTGTTTTCAGATTTGTAATACCTTTTAAAGTCAACTATAAATTTTAGCCCATTACAACTGTAGAGATTCCACCAGAGCAGCCATTAAATTCCACGAAATATGCATCCTTTAGCATTTTCGATGCGGACTTTACTTTGGGGCCATTGGCGGCGGAGGAGAGCCAGTCCGGATCCACCGTTGGCTTCTGGTCCGGACTGGTCGACTGACTGGCCGCAACAGAGATGCCATGGCATTGGACCTGACACTAATACGCAAAGCTTGGCTGGCCAACTAATAAGCGTGTGCCGAGGTGTGTCCTACCTCCGACTGCCAGGCGGCCAAAAGGACATTGCCGCCCCACTGGCTGTCAGGACCAAGCTGTACTGGTGGCCCCCGGGGAATCCCAAGAGTAAGCAATACGCCGGCTCTGAAAATGCAACAAGCAAATTAAACCCATATCAAACTGGAAGCATTGAACTGTTATAAGCCGGGCTAGACATCTTGGCTCCGAGTGCCCACACCATTCACCTCAAGACGTGCTCAGTTCCAAATGCCGTCCAAAATACTTAAGCACTGTGGATAAATTGGATACATAAGGTTGTGCATTATAGTAGCAGTACCCTTTTTAAGGCTATGCTTACCATAATAAAGAGGTAATTAAAGTCTCTCATGATTTGGAATAATTAAGCACAGATACCCAGGTATATATATAGTTTTATTTCCACTGTAAAAGTTTTGCGACGCCCACGGTGCACTTTGGCTGACCTTTTAGGAATTTAAATCAGCGCAGTACTAAAGACACGTCCCAGACATGCAAAAATGGTGAAAAAGCAGCAGAACAAATCTAACCGAAAGGAAAATACTCGAACGGCAGCTTATCGTTCGCATATTTATGCGCCATGACCGAAGGATTGTGGCAGACTCCAAGGATGCGGCAGAGTTCAATGCATTGATTATATTGCCATTACGCATACGCCGCGTTGTCCGTCGCATAACAAGGCAACACAGAAACACAGATTCAACATTAAACTGATACCTGCTTCAGTGGGTCGGTACGAATTCAGTAATTTATTGATTGACCCCACCAATCGAAATTAAACCAATTTTGGGCATTGGAAGGACGAAGCTCAACAGACAACGTGGACGAAGCAAAAGGCCATGGCACTTGGTAAATTTATAATCAACATGATCAAATCACAACCAAAACCAAACCCCAAGCCAGACCCAAAGTAAGTCAATAAAAGTCAGAACAGAACTTGTGGCATTTTGTGCTTATTATTGGGCATTCAAAATGCCTCAAGCATGAATTATGTGCGACCAGCGAATCAAATTTGACGCAAATTCACGCACTGTTTTGCAAGCCATTGAAAGTCGTCGAATTGAATGCAAATAAGCGTAAAGATTCGCTTAGTGACTTTGACCCAAAGTGCTCGGCATTGTTCATTGATAAGTAAATTGAACTTTTGTTTAGTTCATCAATGGCCGCGTCAGTTGAAGTCGCTGAAATAGTTGTGCAAAGTTTTATTTCAGCTGACCAAAGTACCTTTGGCAGTCTTAAAGCGAATTTCACGTCTAAAGCTGCTTCTGAAAATTGAGTTCTTTACGGTTGGTCACTAGCGGAAATATATTGTATAAAGCAAAGCTGAATTCGTCACACTCCTACTGCTTGTGTCATGGCTTTAATACGGGCAACATATATAACTTGAATAAGGTATTCCTTTATCTTATTGCTTCGACGTTCACCAGGTATTATTTGTAAGGTAGTAATCAAT